GGGAAGAGACGAGGATCTGACTCCACGGTTCAGAAGGCTGATTTATTATTTTATGATATGTATTGTATTAAAACTATACTAAAATAATAGAAGAAAGGATTTCATCAGAAGGCTAGCTAAGAATAGAAAAAGAAAGAATGAATAACAAAAAGCTTGTGGCTCGGACAGAGTCCAAGCCAGCTGACTGTGATTGGCCATTAATTAGAAACAATTGCATGAGACTGATCACAGATCTACCTGTTGCATTCCACAGCAGCAGATAATCATTGTTTACATTTTGTTCTTGAGGCCTCTCAGCTTCTCAGGAGGAAAAATCTTAAAGAAAAGATTTTTCAGAAAATATCATGGCTACAAGAGGGTGGCTTTCCAAGGAGCAGGCAGACACCTGCTCCTTGTTCTTAGCACAGGCTGGAGGGAAATCCTTGTTTCCCACCTCTGCAGCCTGAGCATGTGCTGGTGCAAGGCACCCAAGGAGGGCACTTCATTCACTCAGCTCTTCAATGTGTGTCCTTGTACAGATCTTGCACCGAGACATGAAAGCAGCGAACGTGCTGATCACGCGGGATGGGGTCCTGAAGCTGGCGGACTTTGGGCTGGCTCGAGCTTTCAGCCTGGCCAAGAACAGCCAGCCCAACCGCTACACCAACCGCGTGGTGACCCTGTGGTACCGGCCCCCAGAGCTGCTCCTAGGTAGGAGGAGCCCTGGCTGGGCTCTGCCGGCCTCGTGGCCCTTCCAGGCCCTCTGTCAGGCTAACTGGGCATCTCCGTTTAGGGGAGCGCGACTACGGCCCCCCCATTGATCTCTGGGGTGCAGGCTGCATCATGGCAGAGATGTGGACACGCAGCCCCATCATGCAGGGGAACACGGAGCAGCACCAGCTCACCCTCATCAGCCAGCTCTGCGGCTCCATCATGCCAGAGGTGAGGATGAGAGCGGGGATGGGCTGTGCAGAGCACGAGTGTGGGCACAGTCTGGGCACTCAGGCCTGTTCCCTGCCCACTGTGCAGTGGAGTGTGCCTGCTGCTGGCAGGGAGGCTGCAGAATCTCTAGCCTGCCTTTTGGGGTTGTCTCTCACACAAACACTCTCAATTTCTGCTTAAAGAAGGGTGAGGGTTTTTATTCTCAGGTGTTTTGTGCTGGTCACCTTGAAAAGCCTCTAGAATTCTGTCTTGTGATTTATGGCATCAACCGGCTGTGGTGTGAGCACCCGGCCCCTCCTCAGCTCCTCCTTCATCTGCAGCTCGTCCTGCCCTCTTGTGGGGAGCGAGCTGAGGGATCTCAGCCCAGCCTGGGATCTGCAGGATGTGGTGCTGGCAGCTGCCGTCCTCATCCTGCTGTCACAGTCATTATGTAAATACTCTGAAGGTGCTTTCTTTGCAAGTAGCTACCTGCTGTGGTTCTCCCAGACCGAGATAAGTGCTGGTGATTGCAGCAGCCTTTGCTTTCTAAGGATAAAAGGTGCCACATCCAGGTGATTATTTAGCAATCAGTTTTGTCAGTTCATCTTTCTGATGTGGTAGCTGGCTAGAACCATGCTCTCTTTCATAGGGGAACCAAAATCCTTGAGCATCATTTCCACACCAGGAAGACTCTCCTGAGTTATCCACGTGTCTCCAGGCCTTTTGTTCCTCTTTGTTGCTGTGAGAACAATGTCTGCCAGCGTGGAGGCTATAAAATAGAATTGTTATTTTGGTTTGCCTGAGGGTGTTTGAACCAAAAATGGCTTGTCCTTGCCATAACTTCTTGCTGACTCCACTTCCAGCAGTGCCAGAAATCCCAAATAAACCCCATCCTACCCCACCCAGAGCTCATGTTCCCTTTCCCAGCCCTGCCTGTGTTATCCTAAGGAATAATCTCATAAGATTTTTTTTTCTGATGTACAGATAATTTTAAATTCCCTTTCCAAAGCCATAGGAAATCATTTCAGGGCCTCAAGTTTTCAGGGCAATCTCCAAGTGGGATAAAACCACTTGGAGAATTTAACAGGAAAAAAAAATCAGTAATTCCATAAATAAAAATAAAGTTTAGGAATAAATCAGGTTTTCCTTGACTAAAGCAAACCCTTGGAGCTGTAAGAGATGCCTGCCAGAAATTGTCATTATTTTTCCTTAATTAAAAGACATTCCTAAAAGGAGTCATTAAAGACCCATCAGCAACAAGAAGCAGCTAAAAGAAAAAAACCATGTTTTTTCCCAAAATAATCAAATTATACCCCATGGATGCTCCTCCTGGAAATGCCTCTTAGGGCAAAAAAGCTGGAAATCCTTTTAATTATTCTTTGGGATAATGTTGGAGCTGGATGCAGATGGATCCAGGGAAAGCAAAGGCACTGGATAACATTTCTGAGGATTCAGGTGGTGACATTTATGAGGATTAGGGTGGTGGTAGGAGGTTGTAGTTGGGTGGCTCGTGGTAGTGGGAGGAGTAGGGCAATTTCTAAGTTGAGTAGGAGGAAGAGGATGGCTACTAGGAAGAAGCAGATTGAGAAGGGGAGTGGAGCAGATCCTAGGAGGTTGAATCTGCATTCATATGGGGATAGTTTTTCTGAGTCGGGGGTTATTTGGGCAAATCAAAAGTTTCGTGCAGTTAGGAGGATGCTTAGGGTCAGTGACAGTTCCCACTGCTGGAACTTCCATAATTTCTTCCCAACCCCTTTTCCTACCCTTGCCAGGTGTGGCCGAACGTGGACAAGTACGAGCTGTACGAGAAGCTGGACCTGCCCAAGGGGCAGAAGCGGAAGGTGAAGGATCGCCTCAAGGCCTACGTCAAGGACCCCTACGCGCTGGACCTCATCGACAAGCTGCTGGTGCTGGACCCCGCCCAGCGCATCGACAGCGATGACGCCCTCAACCACGACTTCTTCTGGTCTGACCCCATGCCCTCAGACCTCAAGAACATGCTGTCCACCCACAACCAGTCCATGTTCGAGTACCTGGCCCCGCCGCGCAGGAGGGGCGGGCACATGCCCCAGCAGCCGGCGAACCAGGGCAGGAACCCGGCGGCCACCAACCAGACTGAGTTCGACAGAGTCTTTTGACATCCGGCGGGGTCCTGCCTGGGCTTCCCCACCTTGAGTGGAGATGTCCTGGCAAGGTCTTTTTGTCTAGGAAAGGACTTTTTTCAAGGTGAATTGACTGATGGTGTTGTCAGAGCTTGGCCATCTCCTCGGCCACCGCAGAGCTGTGTGACTTGGGGAGGTGATTCCTGTGAGCTCAATGTTGTTTCCCTCCAGTTTCCTGTCTCAGAACTTGTTTTTGCCCCCCCAAAAGTCTGTATTGGATACATTAAACTTGCAGATCAATTGTTATGGATCTGGTGATGGAAAAAGTGTCTCCATCCATGCTCTTGGCAAATGGTACCAGGACTGGGAGTAGCTGCCCTGGGACCAAACTGGGCCCTGCTTGGAGATGTCTCAGCTCTCTTGGTCTGTCACAGCTCCTGCATGGAGTATGCTCTGAGCACTGAAACGCTGGTGAAGGATGAGGCAGGTGCTTCTGAGTCATCAGATGTCTTGGGGAAGGCAGAGTCACCCTAGACAGAATGACTAGCTCTCCCTGGAGACTGGGATCTAGCCTAAAAAAGGGCTTATTGGGCAAACCAGAGAGGTGGCTGGCAGAGCTGGATGCTCCATGTAGCCAGGAGACCGGGATAGCTGGTTTCTGTGACAGCACATGGCGTCCATGCTTTCTTAATTGCAAACCATGACTGGGTTTGTATATTGGATACACCCAACCTGCTGCAGCCAAGCACTGCCCTGTGCCTCAGGTGAGACCTGTCCTGCTGTCTGCAGGGATTTCAGGATAGTGTGGCAGGGCTGGTCACTGTGCTGGGAGCACGGGGACGCTCATGTGTCCCTTGCTCTCTCCTGGAGCTCTTTGCATGAGAGACTAGAACAAGACCCCAGCCTCCTTTGGGTGCAGTGACTAGCCTGACCCACTGGGATCACCTGTGCACACTTTATGTCAGAACTCATCAGGATCAATTCATAGAGAGCAAGTGCTCCTCCACAGCTGCACAGTGTCTCCTGGCTATTGGCTCTAGCCAGCCGTCTTCTCCCTGAGCCCCATGAATGGCAGGATCCCAGCATTCAAGGTGTGCAGCTGGTTGATAGCATTTGGCACTTGGTAACTTGTCTGTTAACAATTACAACTGACAAAAGCCATTGGTAGTGTAAAGTCTCATGAGGAAGTGGTGCTGAGTGGGGCCGTTCTCTGGCTTGATGAAAGGCATGTACAAGGTAACTCTGTCTTGGTTTGGGGCTCTGAAACAGTGTCTGGTTTGGGGAGGGGGGGCATTGTTTCTTTGGAGAAATAGTCGATTATGAGTAATAAGCCAGTTGACTTGTGCCACTGTGTATAAACACGGTCCTGTCCCAAACAGCTGCTGTGACCCTCCTGTCGCTGTGCTGCCTGAACGGAGACAGCACTGGGAGCCTGCAGGACAGCACCGGCCCTTCCCGAGGGCAGAGCGGGTGCGGGCAGCGTGAGACCCCCGTCCGGTTCCTGGGGAGCTGGGGGGGCTCAGCGCCATCAGCGCTGCCGTCCATTAACACACGGGCACTGCTGCTGCGGGCAGCCCCGCTGACACCGGGCCGGGGCGGTGCTGCCGGCCGGGGGCTGCGGAGCTCCGGGGGCCCTGTGCCCCAGCTCGGGCGGTGGGGGCTGTAGGGCCATGTCCCTGTGCTGACATGACAGACGGGCTGTGCCTGATGCTACCTCCGAGCGGGGCGGCCGGCCGGGACCCCGGTGTCCGTGCGGAGGGGTCCGGCTGGCCACGGGGGCGGGGGTCTGGCTGCCGCTCGCAAAGATGGCGCTGCCCCCTCCCCCATGCGACGTGGCGCGCGCTGCCAGCTTCAATGATGGCGGCGGTGGTGTCAGGGGGGAGCCGGGACGGCCCCGCCCCCTGGCCTGGGCGGCGCGCGCGGTGCGCGGGGGCGGTGGCGCGCACGCGGCGGGGATGGTGGCGCGGGGGCTGCGCGCGCTGCGCGGGGCGCTGCGGGCCGGGCGGCGCCGCTTCAGCACGCGCCCCGCGCGCGCCCCCGCCACCGACTACCAGGTACCGCGCGGGGCCGCGCGCCGGGCGGGCACGGGGCCGCGCCAGCGCTGGGGCTGCGGGGCCGCGCGGGGCGGCGACAACGCACCCCGTCCCCTCCTGACCCCCTCCGCCGCCCCCCGCGGCCCCCCGCCGCACTGCCTGCTGCTCGCCACCGGTCCCCGCTTTCTGCTCCGGTCATTCCGCAAAGCGCTGAGCCCTGCGGCAGCAGCGGGCGAGCCCGGCCTGCAGCGGTGATCGCGGCGTGTCCCGGCCGCACGCGGCTGCGCCGGATGCCGTGGGGATGGCGGCGGTGCCCGGCGGGGAGCGGTCCCGCTCGGCAGAGCTGAGCGCTCCCGGTGTCAGTGCCGCTGTCTGTCCGCTGTCTGGGTGCAGTGTCCCCGCACTGGGGACACGGGTTGGTTTGGTGCCCCAACTGCCGGGTCCCCCCTGCAGCTCACGTCCCCTCGGCGCGGCTTTGGGGGGCTCGGTGACAATGGTCACCTCTCAGGTGTGCCGTGCCGTGCCGTGCCGGGGCAGCGTTGCTGCTTCATTAGCGCCGCTCATTAAACAGCAGCCCTGGAGCGCTGCCCGCTCCGGCCGGCGGCGACCTTGTCCCCGTGGGCAGCGCTGGGTGCCGGCCTGGCCCGTGCCGTGCCCCAGCGCGGGGCCAAGGGGCGCCTGGCGAGGGGCGGGTAACCCCTGCCCATAAGTAGCCCGGCCCCGTGACGGGATCTGGGGATCACATCCCGCGGCACCATGGCAGAGATGCTGCCCGCCTGGGGGACCAATGGCACCGCCGAGGGGACTGAGCCCGAAGGGGTGGGTCAGGGGGCAGCGGGCTCTGGGCAGAGCGGCCACAGGGCTGCTGTGTTGGGCACTATCCCGACTGTCCTGGGCGTCTTTCCAGGATGCAATCCGGATGCTCAACACCCTGCAGACCAATGCCAGCTACCTGGAGCAGGTGAAGCGGGAGCGCGGTGACCCCCAGGCCCAGCTGGAAGCCATGGAGGGCTTTTTGGAGAGGAGCGGGCTGAAGGTGAAGGGCTGATCCCCATCCTGTTCCCCCTGTCCTGGTGGCAGTGCCGCCATGCTTGGCTGCCATGGGGGTCTCACAGGGTGGTTGAACTCTTACAGGTCGAGGACCTGGATCGACTGAACATCATCCACGTCACGGGGACGAAGGGCAAGGTGAGGCGGACGGTGCTGTGGGGGGCTCAGGGGGCACTGCTGCTGTCTGTGGCTCTGTTTGCCCTGCTCTGGAACGGGTTTAACACAGCTCTCTCCTCAGGGCTCAGCGTGCGCCTTCACTGAGTGCATCCTCCGCAACTACGGGCTGAAGACAGGCTTTTACAGGTGGGCAGGGGGTCAGGAGGGTTTTGAAGGGCCAGTGGGGCTGTGCCTGACTCTGCCCCCTGCTCTGTACCCCCAGCTCCCCTCACCTGGTGCAGGTGCGCGAGCGGATCCGCATCAATGGGCAGCCCATCAGCAAGGACCTCTTCAACAAGTACTTCTGGCTGGTCTACAACCGCCTGGAGGAGACCAAGGTGGGGCAGCAGGGGCTGTGGGGGTGCTCCCTCCCTCGGGTCCCCCGCTCCCCTGCTCACCCTGCTCTGCCCGGCAGGACCCAGCACACGCCAGCATGCCGGCCTATTTCCGCTTCCTCACCATCATGGCCTTCCACGTCTTCCTGCAGGAGAAGGTCAGTGGTGGTGGCCTCCAGCTTGTGACAGAAATGTCAGGTTGGTGGGGACCTCAGGGAGGGGGGATTTGGGTCAGAATTTGTGTGGATCAGGCTGTCATGGCTGTAAATGGGATGCTGTGCTGGGTGGATGATGCCCCCACAAATAGGGGTGTGCTCAGGTGTGGGTTTGGAAGGGCTGGTGGCAGGGACCTGTCTCCACCCACATCCCTGAATCCATGGGGGCATTTCCTGCTGCTGGCTCTGATGGCTCTGATGTCCCCGTGTCCCCAGGTGGACCTGGCAGTGGTGGAAGTTGGCATTGGCGGCACCTATGACTGCACCAACATCATCAGGTAGGAGCTGGCAGGGCTGAGCCTGTCCCCAGGGCTGCCAGGGCCTGATGTCCCCACAGTGCAGGGGGGAACAGCAGGGACACTGCCATGCTGCATTCCCAGGACACCGGTGGTGTGTGGGGTCTCCTCCCTGGGCATCGACCACACCAGCATCCTGGGGGACACCATGGAGAAGATCGCCTGGCAGAAGGGGGGCATTTTTAAGGTAGGGAGATCTGGTCTTCTGTCTCCTCTTGTGTTTTGGGGGTGTGTTCCCCCACGTCCCTGAGCACTCCCACGTCCCTGAGCACCCCCATGTCCCTGAGCACCCCCACGTCCCTGAGCACCCCCACGTCCCTGAGCACCCCCACGTCCCTGAGCACCCCCATGTCCCTGTGCACCCCCATGTCCTCCCCAGCCCGGTGTCCCAGCATTCACCGTGGCGCAGCCGGAGCAGCCGCTGGAGGTGCTGAGGGAGCGAGCCCAGGAGCGCAAGGTGAGCTGCTGCTGGGGTGTGGATTGGGGGGTACCCCATCCCATGGCGGGGGGCTCAGCCAGCTCTCCCCTCTGCAGTGTCCCCTGTACCTCTGCCCGGAGCTGGATGACTTTGAGGAGGGCTGCCAGGCGCTGGAGCTGGGGCTGGCGGGTGCCCACCAGCGCTCCAACGCCGCCCTGGCCCTACAGCTGGCACGGACGTGGCTGCAGAGCCGCGGCTGCCAGGGTAAGGCAGGGGAATGGGGATGGGGATGGGGCCAGAGCCCACCAGGGCTCCTGAGGGCTCACTGGGATGCCTGTCCTGCCTAGGTCTGGGGGAGCTGAAGGAGGTGCCACCAAGCACGGAGCTGCTGGGGGGGCCGGTGCCACTGGCTCCTGCCTTCCGACTGACCGATGCCATGATCCAAGGTGCAGTATGGCCATGCCAGGACCCTCCCTCGCCGTGTCACAGGGCATAGCAGGGCCATGCTGGACCCCATGCTGGAGGGCACAGCCCCACACTGGATCCCTACGGTGCTGGGGGTGGCATGGGGGTCCCAGCCATGCCCTGTGCTCCCCCAGGCCTGCGGGACACAGAGTGGCTGGGCCGGACCCAGGTGCTGTCCCACGGCGCCGTGACCTGGTACCTCGATGGAGCTCACACCACCAGCAGCATCCAGGCCTGCGTGCGCTGGTTCCGCCAGGCCGCCCTCAGCCAGGACAAGCCCCATGAGTAAGGAGGGGGTGCAGAGGGGGGCATACCTTGCAGGGGGGTGGTGGTGGTGCTGCTGCTGCAGTCCCCTGGGGGCACGGGCCACCTGCCCTTTCTCCCTGCAGTGGTTCTGAGGTGCGTGTGCTGCTCTTCAATGCCACAGGCGACCGGGACACGGCGGCGCTGCTCAAGCTGCTGGTGGTGAGGTTTGGGGGCACCGGGGGGGTCACTGTGCCCGGGTGTCTGGGTTCTCTGCCGGTTCTGGGACCTGCTTTTTGCTGTGGGTGCAGGGAGCCACGAGGTGGAGCTGGCACCCTGTCTGTCTGTCTGTCCAGCCATCCTGCTGTCCCGGGGTGTATCCCACCTCAACTGTTCCCTGAAGGGGTCTCACTGTGCTGGGTGTGGGGAGGGACTTGGATCATCCCCTGTAACCCCACTGGTGTGGGACTGCGCCATTGGAAATCCCGTGGGTGGGTCCTGAGGGCTCCCACAGTGCTGATCCCTGCTGTCTCTGCAGCCCTGTCACTTTGACTATGCTGTCTTCTGCCCCAACTTCACGGAGGTGTCGGTGGCCAACAACGCAGGTGCGTGCTGAGGAGACAGGGTCTGCCCCATCTTCCCCTTCTGCTCCCTCCCATCTCCCCCTGCAATCCCTGACTGTTCTCTCCATCCCTCCCAGACCAGCAGAACTTCAACGTGACGCTGGAGAACGCGCTGACGCGCTGCCTGGAGAACCAGCGGACGTGGACGAGGCTCCTGGAGGAGAAAGTGGGGCAGGACCCCTGGCTGCCCTCCCCGCTGCGGGTGGGGGGGCTGCTGCAGCCGGCCCCGGCCCGGGGCTCCCTGCTGCTGGTGCCCCCAGCCCCACGGCCCCTCAACTCCCCGGCGCTGGTGTTCCCGTGCCTGGCGCAGGCGCTGCGGTGGGTGGCGCAGGGCCGGGACCCCCAGCTGGCCGCCCCCACGGCCTCGGGGGCTCACCCGCACCCCGCGGCCAGCAGCGGGGCCGTGCTGCTGCGGGAGGCGGCGGCCGTGCGCGTCCTGGTCACCGGCAGCCTGCACCTGGTGGGGGGAGCGCTGCGGCTGCTGGAGCCCTCCCTGTCGCAGTGACGGGCGCCTCTGTTTACATGAAGCACCGGTGTAGCCCCCGGTGATGCTCAGAGGCGTCTGGAGGGGGATGTGGGGCTCCCCCACCCCATCCTGGCTTGGCTGTTTTCACCCCAGTGCCTTCTGCCTGTGCCCTTCCCGGGACACTGTCCGTGGGGGGATGCTCCTGGTCTCCATCCCCGCCCTAGTCAGACTGACTGGGGGGACCCCCAGGCTTTGGGGGGCTGCCCCAGGCTGTGATGAGCTCCAGTGCCTGGTAGGTGGGAGCCTCACGCTCAAGTGGCAATGCTCAGCGTCAGGGCGCAATTAATTTAACATAGGGAAGGTTTTTATTATTATTGATAAGAGTTTGTAACTTGGACGGGGAGCTGGGGGGAGTGGTGGGTTCTGCCCATCGTCCTGTGGGAGGGCAGCAGCCTTGCACCGTCCTCCACAAATAAACCTCTTGCTGCTCCCACTGGTGCCTGCTGCCTTCCTGGGGGGAGGCAGGAGGGGCACGGGGGTCACCCCAAGTGCTGGGGCATGTCCAGGGCCACCCACTTCTCCTTCCCCCCCCATTTGATGGGGAGCCTCGTGGGAGCTTTTGGCAATAGCTGCTCTTTCTGCCTCCCCACTGCAGCGGGGGAGCCCAGGGGGGTTGCAGGGTGCTCCCCCCCGGGTGTGGGCTGCCCTCAGGGGGCCAAAGCATTCACTGAATGAGTAATGGAGGCCCCCTCTGGGCTCGGCCTGAGATTTGGGGTGAAAAATCAGCTTAATGGCACTGGGCTGGCTCCCCAAGTCCGCTGGCCGGGGGCTGTGCGGGCTCGGGGGGGCCCGGGGGCGTCAGGCCATGCTGCTGGTGGAGCAGGGGGTGCTCTGGGTGCTGCCAATGCTGTGGTTGGTGCTGCTGCTCTCCGAGGCTGGCGCCGTGCTGGAAACTGGCTGCAGTTTGGAGATGGGACCTGGCTCGCACCGCCCGCCACGGGAACACCAAGGGGAAACCACACTCAGGGCCAACAGTGGTGGCCTTGGCTGAGCCCCAGGGACCCTCCAGCCCTTGTGGGTCACTCCCCAGCTGAGCCCTGAGCCCCGGGGATGGAGATGAGCATGATGCACCAGGAGAAGGAGGGAGGGCAGATGGCAGAGGGGACCCTGAGGAGCTGTAGGCACCTGGAGCAGGGTTATTCCCCTCTAGCACTGTACACACGAGGGCAGTGGAAAAGCCTGGTCTCTGGCTCATCTGGGGACTTTGGCCAGGAGGGAAAAATGGGCAACCCAGTAAGGGACACACAGGGGGCCCCCCCATCCCACCACGGGGGTCCCAGGGTGCTGGATACTCACGGGTGTGCGAGTAGATGTACCAGAGCACGGCAGTGAGGAGCGCCCCGATGAGGAAGGCGCCAAAGGTGATGCCCAGGACAGCGCCCAGCCCCAGCCCACGGTCTGTGGGAGGACGAGGCTGTCAGCATTGGGAGAGTCCCTCTCCCCCTCCATTCCCATCCTGACCACCTCCCTGCCCTGAACTCACAGTTGAGCGGCCGCCAGGCATCCTTCACTCTCACCTCCAGCACCTTCTCGAAGATGGTGTCATTCTGTGGAGTGGAGGTTGGGGTGAGAGGGGGATGTGCACCCCCAGGCTCTGCAGGCCAGGGAATGCTGCTCCATCATGGATGGGCTCCATCACCCAGCGCTGTGGGACAAACCCATCAGGCTGCAATGGGGACCAGCCTGGAGGCATCCCAGGTGGGGAGGGGGTCACACTGACCTGCAGGCCGGCCTTGCACCGCAGGAATGCGGAGAAGGGGATGTGGCCGCCCTCAGGAACGCTGTAGGTGAAGCGGAAGCGCCAGACCTTCCTGCCGTGGCTGCTGGGGGGTCCGTCCAGCACCGCCACCCCTGCTCCCCGCGCCTGCCCGCCCTGCACCAGCAGCACCGGCTCCCGCTCCGAGGCCACCAGCCAGCACTCCTTCAGCTGCAGGTCGGCCGGGTGATCCATCCACCGCATGGACGCCTGCAGGGGCGGGAATGGGGCACACCATCAGGGTCGGTGCCCAGGCAGGGCTGATGCCCCAGCCTGGCTCGGGACGGTGGCAGTACCTGCACAAAGGCCTCCTTGTTGATCTCCAGCTCCGTCTGCGGCGCCTTGAAGTCGGCGGTGGGGAAAAGGCGCAGGAAGAGCTCCCGTGGGATCTCGCACTGGAAACCCACCTGCAAGAGGGGAGCAGCACTCAGGGGGCACCCAGCATCTGTGAGAACCCAGGGCATTCCTCTGGCTGCCCTGCATGGCTCCAGACCCCATGGAAACAATTACCAACTTTGTGTGAGGATTTACAAGTTTGAGTAGAATGACAGCTAATGTGTCACAGGGTGAAAATGTAGAATTTTGGGGTTTTTAGAATGGGGATTCAAGAGGCAAGATGGAGGAATCTGGGTGTGTCCTGTCCTTCTCCTTCTTCTTGTCCTCCATCTTCTGCTGTGATGGTGGCACTTCTGGATTGGTTTAGAGTAGAGACAGACTGTCTAACATAGGTGATAGGTATTGGAAAATTATTGTAAATAAAGTACATGTAGTTTCTAGTATAAAAATCTAACACCACCCCAAGGGCAGGGACTGTGCCTCAACCTGACCTGCTGGACAGACCTCAGCAGGTCAGAGAAAGAATGTGATAGATAAGAGAAAATAAACCTTGAAAACCAGAACTGAGGAATCTCAACTTCTTTGGTCTCAGGGCTGGGAAAAAAGACTCTTTAACACCTCGGGAGCCATTCCAGCAAAATGAAACCCGAGAAGCACCCAGCTGGCAGTGCCATCTGCACCTTCTCCCACCCCTGGACATGCTGGGAAAGCCGTGCCTTACCCGCACGCTCCGGAGCACGGCGTCCTTGGCCAGGCTGAGGATGAGCTGTGAGAAGGGAGAGGGCTGGGTCAGTCAGGTGGTACCCAGGGATGGGATAATGGGATGGGATGGGATGGCATGGGATGGGATGGGATGGCATGGGATAATGGGATGGTCCCCCCCCACACTCCCTGTCCATCTCAGCCCTGGGCTGCACTATGATGTTTCCAGCCATGCAAAAGCAAGGAGGTCCTGGTGGAGAAGCCCCCCCCACTTCATGGGCTATCAGTGGGGCTGGAGGCAACACCCCCAGCTGGCCCCCCTCTCACCTCATTGTTGGCATAGCCCCTGCCCTCCAGCGAGGTGCCACAGTGGCTGAGGGGGCTTTTCAGCATGAAGTGGGTGGCATTTTTCTCTGCCTGGCAGCGGATGTCCCTCAGGGTGATGTTCACCACGTCCTTGATGGGCTGGGAGGGAAGCACACTGTGGTCACCCACTGACAGGGGACAGCCCTGTGCCACCCACCCCAAGCACCCAGAGGAAAATGAAACTTCTGAGTGATTTTGGAGGACATTGGCACCCCTCTCCACCCCCTCACCTCCAGGTAGGACCTGATGATGACAATCTCCATGGTTTCATCTGTGCACTTCCAGGGCTTGAGCGTGCGCAGCACCTGGTGGGGTAGGTCTGGGAGCTGTGTGATGACCATGGGGGTGGTGCTCACGGGCGTCTCGACCGTCCCTGCAGGACAGGGAGATGGGGGTGCTGAGTGGGAGTGCTGGAACCCCCATCCCACCCAGCCCTGGGCTGCTGGGGCCTCACCGTGCTCGTGAATCTGCAGGCTGATGTGGCTGCTGGCAGGGATGGCGGAGTAGGAGGCAATGACACTGTAGTTCTTCTCAAAGGCCTCAGCAATGAGGCCCTGCTCTGTGTCAGGCAGGGGATTCCCAGGGAGCAGCATGGAGAAAAGGGGCATCTTGTAACTCCCAGAGACCTGCAGTGAGGGGGAAAGGGGGGAACGCAGAGGGGCTGAGTGGAGACAGGGACAGCTGGGGGTGCACAAGGCAGGGTCCATCCCATAATCAGGGCTTGCAGCAAGGGGGCTGCCACTTGGCCATGTCTAATGTCTGCAGGTGCCCTCCTGCCACCTTTCCATGGCACCAGCATCTCCTGGGCACCTGGCAGAGCCCTCGGAAGGGGTGGTGGGGAACACAAGCTCCTCTCAGCCTACCAGTAACTGGATGTTGCACTCTGCGGACAGGAACCAGGTGAAGTTGGCCTTGCTCTGCAGGATAAGGATCTGGTTGCCAGCAGAGTTCTGAGAACAGCTCAGAGACAGGTTCACCCTTGTGATGGAGGAGCTGAAAAACCACAAGACCCCCATTCTCAGCATTCCATACCAACCAGTCCCACACCCAGCTCGGGATGTGGGGCTCTGCTTTTGGGAAGCAGAGCACCTTCCCAAGCATCTCCAAGCAAATCCCCCTGCCTGTCCCACTGCTGGCACTGTGGTACCTGGGCTCCGACTGCAGATGGATGATGTGGGCAGCCCTGGTGCTCTGGGCATCACTGCGTGAGCAGCTCTTCACCCCGTGGAAGAAGACCTCAGCCTCCAGGTGCAGCATGGCATTGAAGTTCTCCTGGGGAACGCACTCTGGAGGGCTGTGGGCATCTGTGTGGGTGGCAGGGTGATCAACACTGTGCTCAATGTGGGGAGATGCCCAGGGCCAGGGGCGTCAGTCCCCGTGGCATCTCCCAGGGAAGGTGCCCCAGGAGGTTGTCACCCTTCTGGAACAGGGAGACCATTCCTGCCCATCCAGCCCCCCAGTGCTATTCCCCAGCCCCACACACCTTCCCCCAGGTGCAGCTGGAGCCTGCGGGGGTCCTGCAGCTCGCTGTAGGACGTGATGCCCCCATAGGCATCCAGAGCCCAGGCCAGCAGCTCCTCCTCGCTGGAGACGATGGATGGCTCGGGGTTTGGTGCTCTGATGGTGCTCTCTGGGATGAGGTGGGCGTCCTGTGGGCCAAGAGACAGCCTGAGCCGGGGTGAGGAGCAAGGTGCATCCCTCCCTTACACAGGCTGGCATGGGGAAAGCAAGGAAAACCTTAAACCTTTCCCCTCCGTGAACCTAAAACAGGTGAGTGTCCCTGGGGCCTGGGCTGGGGGTCACCCTGGATGAGGGGGGGTTTTTGGGGCCGTGAGCTGGGAGCAGGGAGAGTGGCTGGAGGCACAGGGAGGGCTCAGCCCACTTTATTATTAGCCACAAACAAAGCAGGAGGTTTATTTTGCTAACAAAGCGCCCGACCCCGGCTCAGCTCGCTGGAGCCAAACCCCATCCCTGACCTTCCTCCCGCCGGCCGGAGGAAATGGGAGCTTTTTCCAGCCCTGTGCGTCATTCCCTGCCTGGCCAGCGCCGTGCTCAGCGCGCCAGCAATGCCGGGAGCGTCCCCTCCTCCCTGGGGCTCCACAGGCACCGTGGATGGTGATCAGAGGGACCACCAGTGACCCCCTCAAACATCCCCAGGGGTGACCCGAGCCCCGCTGCCCCCCGGGATCGCTCCCGTGGTGGGGCTGTGGCACTCACGGTGTGGAGGATCAGGTTGGAGCACGGGGAGGTGATCCTGGCAGGGCAGCGGCTGCAGAGGAGGATCAGCACTGCTGGGCGGCTGCAGGCACCGGCTCCTGGGGTCACTGTCACCGTCAGAGGGGCAGCAGAGACCTGGGGGGGAAGAGGAGAGTGAAACCGCTGCGGCCACCAAACCCAGCTGCTGCCACCTCCCTGGCTGCCCCTGGAGCCAGAGGGAGCAGGGAGAGCCCTGGGATGAGCCATGGCTGGGGTTAGGGGCAGGGATGCCGTGTGTACCTACACTGGCTCCCCTAAGCAAGGGACCAGCGGGATGCCCACCTGGAACATGGTGTCATCCCCACACTGGTGTCCAGGACACCCCACATAGTGAGGTTTAGGCACCCCCTTTTTACGGACCAGGGCATCCTTGAACTAGAGACTAAGCAATCTCTGCACTGGGTGTGAGAATCACCCCACTGTGGGCTGGGGTATCCCCACACTGAGGACTGGAGCATCCCCACCCCGGGCACCAGAGCATCCTCACTGTAAGTTCTGGGGTGTCTCCCACTGAAAGCTGGAGAATCCCCACCCCGGGCCCTGGGGCATCCCCCGGGCAGGTTTCCCAGCCCCATCCCAGCGCTGTGCAGCCGCTGCAGGCTCAGGTGTGTCCGTGCTGCAGTGCAGAGGTGCCTGGGCACAGGGGTGGCACACAGCACTCCTCGTGGCCAGCACTGCCTGCTGGCCTCTAGCCGGAAATCCGGATGGGGAAGTCAAAACTCCAGGCGCTAAGTTTGGCAACTTCTGCCTGGAAAACGGCTCGCAAAGCTCCGAGCAGAGGGAGAGGAGAGAGGAGAGGGAAAGCCAGCCGGGGACGGGGCGGGTGGAGGCTGCTCCCGTGCCCTGCACAGGGCTAGCGGGATGATGCCGCGGGCATCCCGGCCTCCTGGCCGTGGCCCCGTGGCCAGCGTGGGTGGCCAGGGACCCCGCGTGGCCCCGAGTGTCGGGGAGGAGCTGGCGGCTGTTTTTCCTGCCGCGTGTTTTGTGGCGCTCCATTGTTTGGCTGCGCGAGTGGCGGGAGCCTCGGCGCTCCCCGCCGCCGCCTTTCGGGTTATTTTTTTTCTTTTTCTTCTCCTTTTTTTTTTTTTTTTTTTTTTTTTTTTTTTTTTCATCGTGGGGATCTGCTTATAGAAAGCAGCTTCCAGTAATTCTTCTATAAGTGGAGCCGCGTCCCTGCCCAGCTTCCCCCGTGCGCCGCGGGGCTCAGCGCCGCAGCCGTGACATCAGTGCGTGTCCCCTGTCGCCGCTGGTGACAACCCTGAGGCACCCCCGGCCCTGGCGCTCCTCAGGGATGCCAAGGGCCGGTTACACCGGGCTGGGCCAGAGGGTCCTTGCGGAACCGACCCTCCCCAGCGCCTCGTGGTCTGGCTCCCCCTCCGCTGCAAAAGCAGAACTGGGAGAGCTGGGAGGTGGCAGCGAGGGGGGAGTGTGGCGCCAGGGCTGGGCCAAAATCGGGTGCTGGGCCCCAGCCAGCGTGAGGGAAGCCTGTCTGTCCTGCAGAGCTGCCACGCAAACCCGTGAGCTGGTGCAAACCCACCCAGCAGTGCCAGCGCCGGCCCTGGCACCGCCCTTGCCCCAAAGCACCCTCAGTGTGGTTATCACCCCAACTTCGGCAGACAGGTTTCTGCTTGCTTGAACACCTTAAAATTATGTGCCTCCTTCATCCCTCCGCTCTTTCCTCCATCCCTCCCTTCATTCCTCTTCTCATGTCCTCCTCCATCTCTTCCTCCATTCTATCTCCCGTCCCTCCCTGCCTTCCACTTTCCATCCATCCCTCCCTCTCTCTGCCCAGCTCCTGAGCCAGAGCCAGAGCCAGGCCACCTTCCCATGGAAATGGAGGGTCCTCAGGTGTCCAGCACAGCAATATCTGCCTTGGCAGCACGGGCTATTAGAGAATTTGCCTCTAAGTCTTTACATTCCCATCAGGGGCAGAGATGCCCAAGGCTGTGCTTGGAGGAGAAGCTGGGACAAGGTGCCATGGAGGAATTTAATCCACTGCTCCTTAATTAGAGGAAGGTTTTCACAGCTGGGACACGCTGCCTGCTGGGGCAGTGACAGGATGGCAGTGCTGTGGTGACAGTGTGAAGCACAGTGTAAGAAATTCTGTGGGGATGCTCTGGGACCCCTCATGCTCACCTTGGACCACTTGACGCTGAGCACATGGACCTCACGGTCGGTGCCCAGGGAGCTGTTGCTGACACAGCCCCGGGGCACCGTGCTGGTGGCATAGGAGAGGGTGATGGGTGGCTCTGCTGTCACCGGCTGCAGGTCACAGCCCTCGGCTCTCCCGGGGTCTGCGCGGAAAACAAGAGACGGTCAGTCCCCGCCGCACGGATGTGGGGTGACACAGCCCGGGGGGACGCGGTGCAGGAGGGGCTGAATCCCTGCCAGCACCGGCACTGCCCCATCACCCTCAGCCCCAGCCCGGCGTCAGCACAGCCCCCCCGGGACCATCGGCTACGTGTCCGCCCCGCCAGCCCCTCCGCAACCCCGCGAATGACCCTGGGATCCGGGCTGGAAAAATCCGCTGTCCCCGCTCGGCGCTGCCCGTGCCAGAACTCGCACCCAGCCGCCCCCAGGGCCGGGCGGCGGCGGAAGCCCCCCCGCATTCCCCGGGCGCAGGAAAGGGGGAAGCGCAGGTATGGAATGGCTGTGAAGCTCATCCTCCCGGCGTGAGCCCTGCCCCAGCCCACAGCCCCCGGCGGCGTGCGGCGAGCGGGGCCGGCCGGCGGCTGCCAAGGGAAATCCTGAGCGCAAACAGCCATTTGAAGGCCTGATCCTGTAAATCCCCACGTGCCTCGACAGTTTCCTCTCTGCCTCAGGCAGCCCTGCTGTGGCCGGGGTGTCCTTAACTTGGCCCCGAGGAACGGTCTGCATCCAGGGGGGCTCCCTTCCAGGGGGCTGGGAAGGACAGACCCCCATGGTCACAGCTGGGCTTTCTATGGGGAGACAGGGCCTGGGATGCTGTGTTTCCTTTGGAGATATCCACTGAGTTCTATTCCTTCCCACTTCAAATTTTTCCATCCCTGCTGTCTCCAGCCAATGCACCGGGAGGTGGCTGGACCAAACTCACCAGCCACCCCTATCAGGAGTGGGGCTAAAAAGTGATATGTCACAGACATCTTTTATGAAAAATCCTTTCCTTAAGATTTTTCCTCTGAGAAGCTGAGAAGCCTCAGGAACAAAATGTAAACAATGATTATCTGCTGCTGTGGAATGCAACAGGTAAATCTTTGATTGGCCCATGTTAGTTGTTTTTAATTAATGGCCAATCACAGTCAGCTAGCTCAGACTTTCTGTCCAAGCCACAAGCTTTTGTTATCATTCCTTCTTTTTCTATTCTTAGCTAGCCTTCTGATGAAATCCTTTCTTCTATTCTTTTAGTATAGTTTTAATTTATTCTATATCATAAAATAATAAATCAAGCCTTCTGAAACATGGAGTGGGATCCTCGTCTCTTCCCTCATCCTGAAACCCCTGTGAGCACGGTCACAGTGTGATGCTCCAGCTCACTGAGATTTTGGGATGCAGCAACAGGCAAAGTGCCATTCTGTCCCATCACGGTGTCCCTGACCCGCGTCTCCCCGCTGGGGTGGCCCGGTGGCGGCGGCGGGGTCACGGCACAGACCCCCGGTGACGCCGCCGTGGGCTCGCCAATTGTCCGGTGCTTCCTCCCCCCCGCGCGGCCGCAGCATCGGGAGGAAGATAAACAGCGGCTTATCTGGGCGCCGCAGGCCGCGTCCCTCTTCCCTTCCACTCCTGCCCCGACGGCACCGGGCACGGGCAGGGCACGGGCAGGACACGGGCTCCCGGGGCAGCAGCGTCCCCCTGGGAGCGCAGGCAGGGCCAGGGGCCGCGGCCGGGATCGCCCCCGGCAGGGCAGGGATGCCAGCCGAGGGGAGGGTGCCAGGCGGGCACTGTCTGTCTGTCCCTGGGGAAGGCTCCAGCATTATGTCAGGATCAGATAAGGGGGCTCAGCTGGGCCGCCGGGGCGATCAGATAAGGGCACTGTTATTTTTGTACTCCAGGAAAGGGAAAAAAAATTTAAAAGGAAGAAAGAAAGAAAATCCACTTTATGTTTTTCCAACCCGCATTCTCCCTTGCTTTGGTGTCGCTGAGATCAAGGAGCAGGGGTGGTCCCACTGTGGCTCCCCCGTGGGTCAGGGGCTGGGGGGCAAATTCCTGGGGTTTTGGGAGCAGAGAGCAAAGCTGGGGTGTGGGGTGCAGGGCAAGGGTGGCTCTGGCAGTGCAGGATGCCCATGGGATGGGCAGCACCACTTTGGCATCCTTGCATCTGGCAGTGTTGCCTCGGTACTTGTGTAATGATCCAGGACAGGAATGGGGATGGATCCTGCACTGAGAGGGAACTGGCGTCCTCTGAACCACCACTGGCTCTTGGACCATGCTGAGGGGGGCAGATGATGGGGTGGATGGGTCCAGGCTTCGAGCCTGACACAAACCACATCATTCCTGCCACTCTCTAACTCAGACAGGTGCCAAGAAGCTTCTCCCCAGAGATGGGAGGGGTGGCCCAGCACCATGCTCACCCCACGGGGAGCACTGCTGGCCCTTGTCAAGGGGGGCACAAAGTCCCCCCCTCTGGAATCTGGATGTGTCTGTGAGACACCCTGACACTGCACCCACCTAGAGCACCCCAGAACAACATCACTGCACCCACCATGGACATCCCAGCCCTATAGCACTGTGCCCAACATGCACATCCCAGCCCCGTAGCACTGTGCCCACCATGGACATCCCGGCCCCACAGCACTGTGCCCACTGCTATGGGGCACTCAGTCCCATGGCACTGTGCCCACTGCTATGGGGCACTCAGTTCCATGGCACTGTGGGCTCCCAGCCCCAGAGGACCCTGTGAGGAAGAAGAAGCCACTGGTGAGGATGAGGTGAGTAGCACAGGTGGGCAGGATGGGGACCATGTATCACAGGTACCCCGGACATGGAGCGTGTAGCACAGGCACTCAGGATGGCACAACTACACAGGACAGTGACAATATGGCCCAGTCATACAGGATGGGGTCCATACAGCACAGCTGCATCCCTTAGGGGTGGTATGGCCAGAGGAGGTGGCCTGTTTGTATGGCAGAGTGACACAGGGACCATACAGACACATCCAATAGGGACTGTATGGCTCCATTACAGAGCACAGGGACTGTGTGCCACAGCTACATTGGATGGAGATCATACAGCACAGATAAACAGGACAGGGACCACAGAAACACACACTCAGGGTGGGGACCATATGGCACAGCTGTGTAGGACTCAGCCCATGCAGCACAGCCCTGTTAGGGCATGTATGGCACAGCCACATAGGGTGGAGACTGTTGGGGGTGAATATAAAGGTCATGGGCACATGGCACTGCTACATAGGACACAGGGGACATTACACAGCTGTGTGGGATGAGGACCAGATGGCACAGCTGTGTGGTATAGGGACTGTACATCACAGACAGGGAGGACAAGGCCTCTGTGGCACACCAACACAGGATGTGGAGCATACGGCATGGATATAGGATGGGGACAGTACAAGAAAGTGGCAGAGGACACAAACCTTACTGCACATCTACACAGGACAGGGACACCGTGGCACTGCCCTAGGGCAGGGACAGTGGCACAGCTATAGGATGGGCACCCAGCCTCACAATTACACAGGACACAGGACTTACAGTACATCTACAAGGATGGAAACTGTATGGCACAACTACAGGGGACATGGCACAGCCTCACTGCACAGCCACCAGACAGGGCTGTGATATAAGAGAGTGGGCACCAAGCCTGGCAGCGGGGCCACCCCAGCACCACCCATGAGCAGTGACCCCTGAGGCGACCAGGAGGGACCAACCCAGCGGGGACACTCAGTGCTGCTGGCCCCAGCCTCTCTGGGCTGCTGCTGCCTCCCCAGCTCCCTTCCCCCTGCCACAGGCAATGTCCCTGAGTCCCCCAGCTCCATCAGCACTGGGGTCCCTCCCTGAAATCCCCCTGTGGTTTTGCAGGGATCTCGGGGTGGCTCTGACTGCTCCGGAGGTGTCTAAGCCCCCAGCTCCCATTTGAGGTTTTAAGGGCTTTTCCCATTTCTCACCTCCAGCTCCATCCCCACATTCCATATGAGGTTTCAGGGTTTTTTCCCATTTCTTTCCAGCTCCAGTCCCACATCCCATGTGAGGCTTTAAGGGTTTTCACCCATTTCTCCTCCCCATCTCCTGGTCAACCCCTCCATACTCCGGGGTGCCAAAGCCCCCCCAGACCCCCCGTGTGCCACCATCTGGGTCAGGACTCAGCCGCGGCGCCTTCAACACGTCCCACGCCCAGTGACGCAGCCGGGATTTGGGGGTCCCAGGGAGCGGCAGGGCTGTGCTGTGTTCCGGGAATCGGGGTGGGTTCCTCCCTTCCCACACGGACGCTGCTCCCCAAAACCTCCCCTCCCGGGGGTTCCCGGGGGTGACAATCTGTGCCTGTGCGGGCACCGCCGGGACCCCTCTGGCCCCGTCCGGAGTCCCCGGTGTCCCATCCCGGTGTCCCATCCCGCTGTCCCGTCCCGCGGCTCTCATCCCCGGGCTGCGGCTCCCCGGTCTCCCCGTCCCCACTCACCCGGGCGGCCGAGCAGCGCCAGCAGCAGCGGCAGGAGCGGGACGGAGCGGGGGCCCATGTCCGCGGCGGCCGCTCCCCGGGAGCCAGCGCCGAGTGCGGGCGGCGGCGGCGGCAGGAAACCGACTCCCTTCGGAGGAGGGTCCGCGGCGGAGGAAATGCCGCTGGCGGCGCTGGGGCCGGGCCGGCGGGGCCGGGGGGGCGGAGAGGATGGACCCCCCCTCCCCCGGAGGCGCCGTGCCTCAGTTTCCCTGCAGGCTGCGCCTCCGGAGGGGCAGGGGGAGGGCACCGGTACCCGGGTAGGTGTCCCCAGGGCCGCCCAGGGCTGGCAATAATGAGTGGAGGGTTGGACACAGGGGTTCTGGTGGGGTGCACCCACACAAATTATTCCCAGCTACCCCACCCAGGCCATGGGGAAGGGGCTGCCCCCGATATTCAGCCCCCCTGGTCCCAGCAAGCGCCCTGACAGGGCCACAGGGCTCAGGCTGGGGGCTGCCCCATGGATGCCCACGCTGGTGGGCAGCTGGAAGCCCCCGAGCACTGCTGCCTGCCCTGCCTGTACCCCTGGCCAGGGCACAGCTGGGGCTGCCCTGACACCCCCACATGGCAGGGGGGCTGGGGGATCAGGAGATCCCGTGGGACAAGGGGGCCTGGGTGAGGGAGTCACGGGCAAGGGGGTCACAGTTGGGCACGGCCAAAGGGGCACCAGGGACCCCCTTGTGCACTCCTGCCCCATTCCTCCCCACACCTCTGCTGGCCCAGGTGGGAGCCCTCACACAGCGATCAGTGGGGCTGCGACCCTCTCACCGGGGGTGGGCGCGGGTCCCCGGGGTGCGGTCGATTCATGGTTCAGGGGCATGGGGACAGAATGGAAACGTGCCAGGGAAGTCAGCGACGGCTGCCCCCAGCAGCCGGGATGTCCCCGGAGATGCCTGAGACCGGGGTGAGCAGCAGCCATGTCCCATGACAGAGCACTGCCATCTCCTGGGGACCGCGGGGACGGTGCTCACGCGGGCATGGGGACGGGGATGGGGACCGGGACCTGGCACGGGATCCTCTGCGTCCCTCACACCCCGCTCCCCGCGGTGACACCACAGGACAACGACCAAGAGACCCTCGTTGATGGACACTGGGATGGTGGCAGCCACAGTGTGACAGAAGGAGGGTGGCTGTGGCTGTGGGGTGGCCACATGTGCAGCACCCTGCATCCCATTCAGCCCAGCATCTTCGCCCCTTGCAGCATATGGGATGGCCTGGAGATTTCAAACCAGAGGAAAAGCATCTGAACATCAACACCAAGCACTCAGGGCCGTGCTGGGGAGCAGGGCAGGGCTCCTGTCCCACTCCCTGCCCACCTGGGGAAACTGAGGCACACTCACAGCACACCCACAGAGGGCAGGAGCCAGCACAGAGATGTCTCTCCCCACTCCCCAATTTTAGGCCGTGCTGTCCCAAACCACAGGACCCCTCTGCCCCCTTGTCCCCCCACACGAGGCAGGCCCTGGCGGGCCCCAGCCCTGGCTGGCTGTGCTGGCAGTGTCCCAGCCTGGCCGGATGGCTGCATCCTTCCTGCCCGCCTGCCTCCCCCGTGCCCCGCCTCTGCCCGCGGCCCCGGAGCACGGGCCTGACGTCGGCCCGACTGGTGAGTTTGGGTTTTCGTCTTGGGGAGTTTTGTTTTTTCCCTGCTGGTTTCCTTTCTCCGCTCTGACTCCTTGGCCCCGTGGCCTTGGCTGACCCCAGCGCTGCCGCCCCTCCTGCCCTCCCAGCCCCCTGGCTCTGTGCCCAGCTCCAGCGGCCCACAAGTGAAGTGTGGGGGGCCCTGTTGGGGGTGCAGCTCTGCTGCCTCCTGCCCTCACTGTGGCTGGGTAAACCCTGTCCCCAAGCTCCACCGCAGCCCCTCTGCTATGGCCTTATGCCTGTGTGGCTCTGTGGGTGCTGGGGAGCCCCCACATCCCCTGTACCCCACACCAGCACCCCCAAATTCCCATCTGTTGGGGTCCTGTGATTCACCACCCATCCTGGAGGACACCCAGCCTGGTGGTTGGGCTCATCTGGGTGTCCCCAGTGCATTCCCTATCCCCTGGGGTAAGAGCAGTGAGTGTCCAGGCCCAGCAGGACAGGGAACACCCCACTCCAGGGCATTGTGCCACCACAAACCACCACAGCGCAGCCACCGCGTACCCCAAAAATCCCCGACAGCCAACAGAAACAAGGAAATGCCAAGGCATGAAAGCGCTGGAAATCCCCATCCCAAATCCGGTGGCCTCCAGCTCCTGGCAGGCAGTGGGAGCGCTGGGACATGTGCAGGACACACACCCAGACACCAGGGGGTTCAGCAACCGGGACACGGCGAGGGAGCCGGGACTGGCGGAGGATGCAGGCGCAGGCTCCCTGCAGGCACGGATTGGGAAGCCGGGGCGAGCGGCCGGGATGCTCCCTCCCTTCCTCTGAGCGCAGCATCGCGCTGCCCCGGCGGGATAAACACCCGCTTCCTGCCCTTAATCAGCTCCAGAGGGGCTGGGGGGGAGAGAGAGGCAGAGAAAAAAAAAAAAAAAAAACCTCTGGAAAGAAAAACTCATTTCCTGCGACAGAAGAAAAAGATAAAGTCTGGATTCATTAAAGTGAACTTTACTGGGGAGAGACGGGAAAGAGCCAAACACAATGTCCTTGAAATTTCCTCCGCACGGCTCCGTCCACGAAAACAGGATAAAGCCGCTTCCGCTGTCTCTGCTGGAGTGCACCGGGGGAGCTGGGGCCGGGGGCTGCTCACAGGCAGTCGAGGTGGGTGCAGACCTGCTGGAAAACCTCCTCCACAGAGCCCTCGGCGTTGAGCTGGGTACAGAGGGGACAGCGGGGGGACTTGCCCGAGGGCTCTCACCCGAGAGCAGCTGGAACTCTCCCAAGGATGCATTTTGGCCATGGGGAAGAGACCAGGGCTCGTTTAGGGCAAAGGGATGCAGGCCATCCTTGGAGGGGGTTGTGTTGGGAGTGAGAGGGGTCAGGCCCACCCCAAACTAGGCAGGATTGAGTTTTCCTGCTTCCCTCATCATCCCCATCCATCACTTCCCCTCCCATGGGACACAAGCCCCAAGCTGGCATCGGTCTCATTCCCGCTTACCTGGCGGACGATGCCTCTGCTCTTGTAGAAGGCAATGACGGGCTCAGTGGCCTTGTAGTAGGTCTCCAAACGCTTCTTGATGGTCTCCTCATTGTCATCCACCCTCCCACTGGTCTCTCCTCTCTTCAGCAGGCGTTTCACCATCGTGTCCTTCCCCGCATCCACGTACAGCAGCAGCGTGGGGGGCGCGATCTGTACACAGAGGGGACGTGGCTGTCACCACACTGAGCTGCTGTGGCTCTGATTTGGCTTGAGGGGTGGTGGTGGTCAGCATGAGGGTCACAAATGTCCCCACACAACCCTCTGCCTCCACCCACATGGGTCTGGGGGCCACCAGGACACAGAGATGTCCCCACGCCATGTCCTGCCTCCCACCGCTTTGGTCTGGGAGCCACCAGGACACTCTTCCATGTAGAGGAAGGCAAAGGCACACTGCAGCCAAGCCCTGGCTCTCTGCCATCACCATCATGCCAGCACTGCTGTCACGCTCTGTCAGCCTGAGGACACCCTGGTCCCTCCCCCTGTGCTCTGGGCACAGGCTGTCCCCAGGCAGGGGGACCTGCTGCCCAGTTTAGACCCTTCTGGGATGTGATCTCTGCTGGGATGGGGAGCCCAGGCTGCTGCTGCATTGAGTCTCTGTGCTAAGCTGGTGTGTGGCACGGCCCAGCACAGCACAGCACAGAACAGCACCAGTCCTCACCTTCTTCTCAAACTCCTCTCCCTGCTTCACCTCGCGGGGGTATCCATCGATGAGGAAGCCCTTGGACACGTCTGCTTTGGCCACCATGGCATCCCTCAGCATGTCCAGCACCGTGTCCTGGAGAGGGAGGACAGAACTGCCACAGTTGGCATGGGACAACAGGACACCCACTCAGCATCCCTGGGTCCCTGCAGCATCCCTGCTGCAAACCCCACCCTGGGATGGCAGAGCCAGAGATGCCTGAGCTGTGTGCCAGCCATTACTGTGGTGGCCCCACTGCCAGCCCTGCACACCCCCTAATGTGGCAGCTGGTAGGCACTCACCAGGGGCACCAGCTCTCCCTTCTCCATGATGGCCTGCAGCTTCTTGCCCCGCTCCGAGCCCGAGCTGACCTCTGCCCGCAGCAGGTCCCCCGTGGACAGGTGGGTGTAGCCGTACTTCTGCACGATCTTCTCACACTGCGTCCCCTTGCCCGAGCCAGGGCCACCTGCAAGGCACACGTGTGCCCCAGCCATGGGTAAGGAGAGGGAGGGTACACGGGAGCAGCAGCACAGACACACACGAGCCCTCAGAGCTCAGTGACACTGCAGCTGGTGTCCCCAAGCCCAGCACCAAGGGGATGGACAGAGCTCCTCGTGGTTGCCCAAGTGCTTGGGGGTGACATGGGCTGCTGAGAATTGGCATGTGGGCACCACACCCTGATGGATGGCACCCAGGGCATCACCACCCAGGGTTTTGTCACATTACCTCCCAGGGATTTGTTGTCACATCAACCCCCAGTGGTTTACTGTCACATCACCCCAGATGCTGCCACCCCATGCCTGGCCAGAAGTGCCCTCCTGGTCCCACCATACCCCATGTGGACTCAAGGAGCCAAGCTGGAGCCACAGCCATCCCACAGTGCCTGGGAATAGCCCACCCTCAGCCTCCAGCCCTGTTTCCCCAGCCTAGGAGTACAGGGAAAAGGCCTGGGCTGACCCCACCAGTGACAGGATCCAGACACAGACTTACCCACCACAAAGATGATTTTGTGCTGCTTGAGCTTTTCTGGAAAAGAGAAAGGAAAAAAAAATAATTATCAAAAGCCAAAAAGTCCAACAGGGAGTGAGATGTCCCCAGGGGGTGCCAGATCCAGGGCAGGCATCCCTGGGGATAGAGGGGACCGATCCAGGAGAGTCCTGGGGGGAAGATGGAGAGGGAAGCAGACGTGTGTCCTGGTCACCTGGGCAGGCTGGGATGTGTGGCCACGTCTGAGCACAAAGACACCACGGCACCTCGGCCATGGGGTGGAATTCCAGTGCCACGTGGTGTCCCAGAGGTGCTCACTGTCCTCGGCTCCACTGCAGGCAGGGACTGGCCTCATCCATCCCTGCGGCCGGCTCCTCACCCCGCTGGGCTAACTGGGGCCGCGGCAGGCTCGGGTGGCATCGAGCGCCTGGCACAACCCCGGCAGGACCCCAGGGCAGCTCCCTGGGCTTGGTGGCCGCTGTGCAAGTGGCACTGAGCGCCCCATCCCCTGCCCAGCACCTGGCACAGGGCTCTCAGCACCTGTGGGGTCTGTGCACCAGCCGTGGTGTGGGGCGATGCCGGGGTGTGATGCCGAAGGGGGAAGCAGAGCTAAAAATAAAGTTGAGCTGCTCTGGGGCCACTTTCCCATCTCCTGATTACAGCTGGATGAAATTTCAACTCCTTGGCACCCAGCACTCCCCAGAGCTGGGGATGGAGCCAAGAGTCTGGCAGGGACCAATGGGATGTGGGGCATGTGGGGGGGCTGGAGGGACATGGGGGATGGACAGAAGGGAGGGAGGCAAGGACACAGGGGCACGTGGAGGGGGGAAGGCAAAGAGGACCAGGGCTGCACGTAATGGGGACAAATGCAGGGGACAGAGGCAGGAAGGGAAGGGGAATGCAGAGGGGATGGATGGGGGGGACCAAGGGGACGGATAAAACGGGGACAGGGGCATGCAGAGGGGATGGGTGCAGGGGGCAAAGGGGATTAATTCCATGGGGGGGGGGGATTGATGCAGGGGACAACCAAGGAAAAGGACACAAGGCAGACAGGGAGATGCAGAGGGAATGGATGCAGGGGACACTGAGGGGACAGAAGCATGCAGGGAGATGGATCACTCACCTGTCGCCATGCTGATGGTTCAGGCACAGAAGCACTTAAGGCTGCCAGGAAAGAGAAGGATAAACAACTCAGCACATCATGTCACCACCAACAGTCTGGGGAGAAAAAGGGCCACCCTTTTCGGTCATGATGGTGCCCAGCTTCAAGCCCAGACTGGGGGGATGGGACAGAAGACACAACTCCTGGCTCGGCCCTGGAATAGAGAGCTGAGGGATCTCTGCTTCTGCGGCCATCACTCACCTGGCTCCAGCAGTCACCCTCCGCATCCGGCTGCGGTAAGGGCATCCCCATGCCGGGTGACGCGCGGTGACGTTGCCGGCTTCCTCCCCTGCCCTGCCCACATCCCAATGCCTGAGGTGCTGCCCGGCAGCAGGAAACCCGCGGGGGATGCCCGGTGCCACCGCAGCACCGAGGGATGGAGGCAGCACCCTGACTCCCCACGGGCTGGGTTTAGGGGGTGTCCCAAGGAGGGGGTGCAGCACCCATGGCACCCCCAGGAGCTCGAGGGCTGTTTGGCCACCCCACCTGCCCACACCCAGCCCCGCAGCACCCGAGCTGCTTGGGCACGGTGCGTCACCCCGAACCGGCCGGACGGGCTGCAGGGAGGGGGCACCCGCAGCCGCTGGCAGGTCGTGTTACAGCCTCCAAAGGGCAGGGGCTAAGAATGGCCGCGCTGAAACCGGCACCGGGTCACAGCCCACCGGCGCCGCGGGGACAAAGTGCTGACACGTCCCCCAGGGGGTTTGGGGAGCGCGGGACCCCCGGGTCCCTGACTGGGGGGGTGCTGAGCCCCAGGAGAGCTGGCAGCAGTGCTGGTGGGTGACAGGGGCTGCGGCCCTCAGGGCGAGCCGGGTGCTGATCCAGCGCGGTGCCAGGGGCGCCGGTGAGGGCGGTGTGCAGGTGACCGCTCCAGAAGGGATGGGGGGCGCTGACCCGCTGGGGCCGGGGCTGGGGAGGGGGCTCAGGGTGCCCTTGTGCCCCCCCAGCCAAGGCCCGTGCGGGCTGCACCCGGGGGTGCCCCAGCGATCTCAGCTCCATCCACCCCTCCCATCCCATCGAACGGAAGGGGAACGCGCGCCGCAGCCCCTCCCGGGGACCGGGCCCCGCACCGGGCGGCTCCAGCGCCGCTGCGGTGCCCCCGCCACGCTCCCAAGCGCCAAGCCGAGCCCCCCGCGCTGCCCCGGGCCCGCCCCTGGCTCGGTGCCCGCACCGACCGGGCCCCGGGGGTCCCGCACCGCCCCGGCCCGGGGGTCTCGCACCGACCGGGTCCCGCACTGACCTGGCCCGGGGGTCTCGCACTGCCCTGGCCCGGGGGTCTCGCACTGCCCCGCCGCCGCCGCCCGGGCCCGCCGGTACCGCTATTTATAGAGCACGGCGGCGCGCGGGGCACGCCGGGAGCGCGCGGCACCGGCGGCGCGAGCGAGCGGCGCGGGGGCACCGGGAGGGACGGGCGGGAGCACAGCGGGGGTGGGGGGGGGCACGGCCGGGGCGGAGAGCGCGGTTAAACCCTCCCGGCTCGGGGTGCGGGGCCGCCCGCGAGGGGAGGGAGCCCCGCCCGGCCCGGCCCGGGGGCTCCGCGGCGCCTCCGCCCCCAGCTCCGCGGACGGGAACGCTTTTCGTGTCACTGGCCTCGTGTCGCCTCCCCGCTTCTACCCCCATTCCGTTCTCATGTCCCCATCCCTTTCCCTAATGCCCATCCCTGTCCCTAGTGCCCATCCCTATCCATAGTGCCCATTCCTGCCCCTACTGTCCCCAACCTTGTCCCTAATACCCTCGTGCCCCCATCCCTATGTCCATCCCTAATGTCCCCATCCAACCCCCATGACCCCATTCCCATCCCATCACTACTGTCCCCATCCTTGTCCCTAATACCCTCATGCTCCCATCCCATCCCTATGTCCGTCCCTAATGTCCCCATCCAATCTTCATGTCCCCATTCCCATCCTTAGTGTCACCGTCCTTGTCCCCAATGTCCTTATGTCCCCATTCCCATCCCTAGTGTCACCACCTTTGTCCCTAAGGTCCCTATGTCCCCATGTCCCCACCTCAGCTCACACACCCCTCTCCCTCAGCTCCAGGCGTGTAAAACCCCGCGGGTGTTGTGTCCTTGTTGACATCTGCGCACTGAGAGATGCTGGATGCCAAAGCCAATTGTACAGATTTTATTTAACAATAAAATGTGAGGTAGAGAAAGAAATAGAAAAGAGGGATTGTGCATCTGGGGGAGAGAGATTGGGTAAGCAGCCGATTTGTCAACACTGTGGATCCCTCAGCATCCCCTTGGTCCTTCCCCCCCCCTGGTGTTTATGGTGGTGGGGGTCCCGAGGTTGTTAAAAACTTCTCACTATTTATACATTTTTGCACATGAAGGCATTAATGCTCATTGGCTACACAGCTCCTTCATTCCATTGGTTAAATTAGTCCCTCTCTTCTAATGCTAATTAATGCCATGTCAGTCTCTCTTCCAGTCCGGACCCTGTTATCTCCCCCTGCCAGAATTACCTTCTACCCAGCTGGAGCTGATCCCATCCACCAGTTACCTGGCTGGCTTTCCTTGTGGAGTCTTTGTGTCCTTTATCAGTGACACATTCTTCTCCTCCAGTTTTGTTTACCACCCCTAATCTGAGATAATGCTCGGACGATAGCACCACCTTTATCTTATCTCAAATTCCTCTTGGGAATCCAGCAGGTGGAAGAGGAGCTTCAGTGGTTGCAGGTGCTGTCTATCCCATAATTTGGGGTGATCTGTTTGATCAGTGATCTGTGTAGGAGCAGCTGCCCCTCCACAGCTTGCCAGGATGTGCCAGACCAGGCTGAGTGCCATGGTTCTGCTCCCTTCTGTGCCCATCTCTTGGCAAAGCCCTTCTGTGCCACCAAACCTTAGCCAGGCACTGGTGATCTTTCAGTCCTGGCACTCGCCTGCCCTTCCTCCTCCTCTGTGGCTGCAGAGACCCCTTTCCAAGACCCTGTGACCCCAGGGCACCTGGCTGGGGGTGAGGTGACACAAGCTGGGGAGGTCTCAGGTGTCACCTGTCACTGTCAGAGTTGGAGTCAGTGAGGGACTGGACATGGATCCCACCTGGACACGTTGGTCACCTGAGTGCCCAGGGGGGACAGTATTGCTGGGGTCACTGCCATCATCCCCAAAAACCCGTCCAGAGCCAGGGCTCAAGGTACCAGACTGCAGCAATATTTATTCCTGTACAAACAATTACAAAACATGGGTGCCCCACTGCTTCCCCCAGCACTGAGCCCCCCAAAACCCCAGCCACAGCCAGAGGGAAACTGAGGAATGGATTCCTGCCAAGGCACAGCACCCAAACATGCCATATTTAGGTGCTTTCCCCAGATCAGCTTCTCTGCTGCTGAGAAATTAATAACAAAGTCCTGTCCCAGCCACAGGGTGCCAAGAGGCACCACTGCCCCTCACTACCTGCCCACTTCTAAATTGTTTATAAGCAGCTGCTGGCATTTTGTTTCCACTAATGAGCAGCCCCTGCTCACTCCTTCATCCAGGAAACCCAAGCAGAAACCCCAGGATTAGAAGTGGGGAGAAAAAAAGCCAAAACCTGCAAAAAGCTCCCAAAAATCCCATCTTTCAGTTAGAGAAGGTTTTGGCAGTGTGGGGCACAGCGGTGCTGGGAGGGGCTGGTGTTTTTGGGGTGCTGAGACAGGGAGGGTGGTAATGTCACCCCTGTGGGGTCCCACCAAAAACTGTGGGGTTCTGCTGTGGGAAGGATGACTGAGGGTTGGAATGAGGGGCTGGGGATGGCAGGGGTGGGGGGCTGAGCTCCAAGAGGGGTCTCCTCACCCAGACAGTTGGGGGAAAGTCTCTGTGGTGACCCCAGAAGCTTTGCAAACCAAAACTGAGCCGAGGGGACCTGGAACCCCCTTAGAGCCTCACAGGGGCTGCAATGTGCATGGACCAGGATGGGGCAGGATATCACCCCCAAGTATCCTGCACAGGGAGGGGGGGGACACCCCAAGTTTTACATTCACCACCTGATCCCCAAAACACAGCTCAAAACCCAACACATCCCAGGTGCCAGGAGCCACCATGCACAACAGCAGCGGTCCTGTGGCGCCTGACCCCACCACTGCCAGGGGGATGCAGGGAACCCCCCATCCATCCCAGCTGCCCAGCAGGCGTGGGGCAGCCCCTAGGTCCAGGAGGGGTGGGAGAAGGTGATGTTGTAGAGGCCGGCCCAGCTGGCAAAGACCCTTTTCTCAGTGATGAAGCGGTGGTGGTTGCCGCGGCGGCTCCGCTCGTTGTGGATGTAGGTCGTGCACTCGTCGGGACCCTTGGGCTCGTAGTAGTGGTAGGGCAGGCGGCGGGGTGGGGGGTGGCGGCTGCAGGGGGCACAGAAACGTGGGGTGAGCCCCATGGTGGGGTCAGGGGGCTGAGGGGGAGCCCTGGGGGTCTCCTCACCCGCAGTAGCTGGGTGGCACCATGCCATAGACGTGGATGGCGTCGCACAGCTCCACCGCGATCACCATGGTGAACCAGCCAGTGCTGAGCCACGAGCGAGACTTCTCCCTGGAGAGGAAAAACAACAGTGAGGTGATGCAGATAATGGACCCCCTCAGTGTCCCCAGCGTGCCTCAGGGACCCCCCAGCTCAATGCTGCAGCTCTGACAGTCAGCTCTGTCTTGGGAACTTGCAGAAAAGGGGGCAGAGCACAGGAGGTGGCTCTGAGGTACCTGTCCTTCCCTGTCTCTCCCCGAAACAGCTCATCAAACTGCTTCATGCGGCCGGGGGAGACCACGTAGGCTGTCATGTTGGGGAAGGAGGCGCAGACGCGCTGGATGATCTTCAGGAGGCTCTTCTGCATCTTGGTGGGCGGCCCCCAGAAGATGAACATGGTCTCTGGGGTCTTGTTGACGAACTCCTGGGGCCGCTTGAGGACACGGTAGAGGCTGGAGTGGGCCACCACACGGAAGCTGGTCTTGTTGCCCACATCAGCACTGTAGGCCGTGGTGGGAGCGTCGTTCATGCGGATGGTGCACTCAGCCCCGTCGATGGCCGTGCCCAGGTGGGTGCCCAGCAGGTGGCTGGAGCTGGTGACAATGACGCATTGGTGGCAGCGGGCGGTCAGGGTCTGGTGATGATAAATGCCGTCAGCAGGTGACTTTTGGTGTCACCGTGGGCAGGGCACTGTTCCCTGCGGAGCCGCTGTCCTCGGGAGGGGACAGCTGGGCTGGATGCCAGCAGAGGGACAGCCCCTGTGTCACCGCCCAGCCCCGGCCCCGCTGCCCAGCCCGTACCTTGTTCCCGCACACAGGCAGGTACCCGCTTTTCACGCCCCACTTCTTGAGGTCGGGGGGCCGGCGGGCTCTGCCCCGCAGGCGGCTGTAGGGGAACACCTCGCTCCCGTTGCCGGAGCTGTAGATGATCAGCAACATGATCAGGGCAAAGAGGACCCCCAGGGCGGCGGCGCGCTGGCTCTGCGGGCGGGGGGACAGCGTCAGCCGCTGCCCCACCCGCGGGGGGGCATCCACCCCTCTCCCAAGGCATCTCCAGCAGGTGCCTGCTGTCCCAGGAGGGCCCCGAGGGGATTCTCTGGCACTCACCGTGCTGCCACTCATGTCTCTGTGCCAGCCTCAGCACACAGCGATCGCCGGCGTCCCGCGAGCACCTGCAAGGCGTGTGGTCACCCCAGCCTGGCCCTGCAAGGAGTGTGGTCACCCCAGCCTGGCACCTGCGTGTGGTCACCCCCAGCCTGGCCCACTGTCCCCAAGCCAGCCTGGTGGGGGTACAGGTACACAGGACAAGTCTCCAGGTCCCCCTCTGAAGAGAAGAACAATCCCCATTTACGAGGGATTGTACGAGAATTTACGAGGGGGAAAGAAATGCTGTTGACAGGGGTTGGGCAGACTCCGGGGTGTGGAAGAGCCAAACCCAGCCTGGGGAATCCCCACGTTAAGCTCTGTCCGGGAAGGATTATCCTCCCCTCGTGGGGATGAAACCGCTCAAACCGCAGGGTTAGGGAGGGTCAACCTGCTGCTCGTGCAGTGAAATTCCATTAAAACCACCGCCACAGGAGCCTTGGAACAGGAGGGAATGGAAGGAACCCACTCACCCCACTCAGTGCATGCATGGGATTGCATCCAGCAGACATGCAGGTACTCTGCATCCCCAGAACCAACTCTAACTTCCACTCCAAGTGGACTGATCCAGTTTAGCTCTGGGAGCCCTGGTTAGTGAGCCCCAGCCATTCCTGGAATGCTCCAAGCAAATGGAAATTAAAACCCACTGAAGCCTCCTCTTTACTAATTGTCACACGGAAAATTATGCAACAGCTTGAGATCAACCCCTGGGGGGAGCTGACACCTCGGAACGCTCTCAGGGCCGGTGGCGGTGCCAGCAGGTACCAGCCTGCCCGGGGCGCCCAGGCCGGTGCGGTGATGCTGAGGGGCTTCGTTGTGCAAAGGTTGGGACAATGTGGGACCCCCACTCCCGGACCCCACTTCGCTCCCTGCAGCTCTCGGGCCATGTGGAGCCCCCCGGAGGGTCCCCGCGGCCTTACCTCGCCTGCCGGGGGCTCTCATGGGGAGTCCGTCACCTCCTGCGCCCCGCGGGCGGCGGGAGCTGCCCGGGCCCTCCGGCGGGCTCGGCCATGCCGGCACCGGCGCTCACATCGTCGCTCTGCGGGAAAAGGCTGCTCCAGAGCCGGGCCCTCCTACGCCGGGGTCCCCCAGCCCCGGATGCGAACCCTCCCGCCCTCCGGGAAGGGAAAACCCGCCCGGCCCGGGGTGCGAACCTCCCGCCGCTCCTACGGGCGAGTCCTCCCCCGCCCCGGGAGCATCCCCCGCCCCCGGCCGCGGCGACACGGGACGGAGCCGGACCCTTCCCACCCTCCACTCCCGCACCCTTCCCACCCTCCATCCCGCACCTTCCTGCCCCTCCATCCCCGGACCCTTCCTGCCCCTCCATCCCCCGTGTACCGGCCCCGGGGGCAGGGGCCGCTTCCCCGCCGCGTTCCGCCCCTGCACCGGCTGAACGGGCCCGGCGGGGACGCGCGAGCTCCACCGGCCGCTCCGGCCCGCAGAGCGCCCCGGTACCGCTGCCGATACCGATAGCGCTGCCGATATTGATAGCACTGCCGATGCCGGTACCGTTACCGCGGCCGTTACTGATATCGCTGCCGATACCGAGCGCGCCGCTGCCGCCGCCCAGGCCGGGTCCTAGTGCCGCCCTCCCGAGATGGAGAGAGCCGCCGGGTCCTAGTGCCGCCCTCCGGGATGGGGGAGCACCACCGGGTCCTAGTGCCGCCCTCCCGATCCCGGGGAGATCCGAGCGCCGCCCTCCCGGGATCGGGACAGCCGTCGGGAAAGACCGGGACTGATCCCCCGAGGGCACCGGTGCGGGCAGCGGGGATGGGCAGCGGCAGCGCTGCCCGTGCCAGGAGCAGCCCGCCGTGCCTGCCCGCATTGCTGGCATGCCGAGGTCTCCCCCGCGCCGCTCGGGGCCCCGCTCGGGGAGGTTTCGTGTCGCACGGGGAGAGCTCCACCGCTGGCAGGGACCGGCACCCCTGAGGCGTGTCCAGAGCGATTGCGGCCCCGCTGTGCCGGAGATGCCTTGCCCTGCGCAGGGCTGGGGAAGCTGAGGTGACAGCTGTGAGCTCCATGGGCTCCTGTGCTGCACTGCCCTGCAGGAAGCAGCCCTGGCAGCACCCCCAGTTCTGCACCACTCGCTCCTCACTACACCCCAGCATCTCTGCTCCTCCTGTCACCCCTGTTCCCCAGACAGCACCTCAAACATGTGGCATCTGTTTACATGTTCAAAGGGCTGCAGTGGGCTCAGGGCCATGCACCACCATGGCCTGTCCCATCTCCCCAGGGACAGGGGAGCTGCCAGTGCCCTGTGACAGCCCAGCAGCACTGAGCTCTGTGGGACTGAGGATCCCCAGACCCAGCACCCATCCCGAGAGATGCAGCTGCTGGCTTCCAAATAACCTCAACTGCTTTCAGCACCCTCTTCCATCTTTAGGCTCAGCTCTACCCCCTTGTCACCTCCCCCTCTTATTTATAGCCTGACATCCTGTGAGGAGGTGTTGAGTGTCCCCCTCCCTCACTCCCTGTCCTGTCCTGCAGCCACAAGGGGCACAGCAAGGGGCACCGCTGAATTAAAAACAATTTTAATGGCCATGTTTGCTTTGGTCTGAATCCAAGGACACTTGTGACAAGGCAATTCATAGCCCCTAGGGCACAGGTGGCTCCAGGGTTTCCAGCTGAGGGGCTGCAGGCACCAAGCAGCAGAAGGCAGAGTCTGGATCCAGGTGCCTGCACCCCACACCCAGCACTGTCCAGAGGGTACAGGTGGGGCAAGGAACACAGTAGAGCTTCGTCCCTGTGAGAGGCACAGGTCTGTGGCCCTGGCAGGGCTGAGCATTTCTGCCCCATGTCCTGCTGGAGTCCAGCAGCACGTCTAATCCTGCATTAAATATTCCTCCTAGTAGAGAGAGCAGAAAACCAGGTCTCCCTGGCTCCATCCAGGCAGGCGTTTGGAGTTGGTGGGGCTGCATGGGTCCAGCTCATGCCCCCCATGTACCAACAGGGGGTTCCCAGCCCCTCCACCAGCTGGGAAACAGGCACTGCTGTGCAGAGAGGGAGACTCCCTGCTCCAGGGCTTGGCAGGAGGTGTCCAGCCGTGCCACCGGCACAGCTGGGACGTGTTGCTGCAGGATGAGAGCTGCCCTGCGCCGAGGTTCCTGCCGCCTCACGCCGTGGCAGCGCCCTACCTGCCTGCCCAGGATGGGTGGTTGAAGACAATGTTCCTCCTCTTGGCCCAGCGGGAGAAGATAGCTTTCTCGGTGATGAAGCGGTGCCCGGCGCGCCGAGCCTGCTCGTGCGTCAGGTACATCCTGCACTCGTCCAGCCTGCCCTTCTCAAAGTAGTGGTATGGCACGCTGGAGTGGTTCTTTTCCCTGGCAGGAGGACACAGGGTGAGTGTGGGACTTGTGGGACACCAGAGCACCCCTCACCTGCCCCTGCCACCACCCCACACCTGCAATAGCTGTCGCTGACCATGCCAAAGACACAGATCTGCTCGCACAGCTCCATGGCCAGGATCATGGTGAACCAGCCCGTGCTCAGGAAGGAGCCGGATTTCATCCTGAAAGGCATCATAGTCACACTGGAGTGGGTGGCACCCCCTTGGGTGGCAGTGCCACCACTATGGGTGCGTGATGGAGGACCCTATGAGACCTCCTGACCTCAGGAGCCAGCAGTACCTGTTCTTCCCTGTCTCATTCTGGAAGACATCGTCACAGTATGTCATCTTCTCCTCGGTCAGGGTGTAGATCTGCAGCTGGGGGTACTTCTCCATCACCTTGACCAGAGCCTGGTAGGTTGAGCCCATCTTCTCCCTGTTCATCTTTTTTGCTGGCCCCCAGATGAAGTAAAGGGTCTCTTGGGACTGCTGGAAGAAGTAAGGCTGGTTGCCCAGCAGCAGGGGGACGCTGGTGTGTGAGACCACCCGGATGGTGCTGCGGGCCCCCACGTCCTGCTCGTAGCCGGCGGTGGGGGCATGGTTCATGCGCAGGACGCACTCCTGCCCGTCGATGGCCTGGCCCAGCTGCGAGCCCAGCATCTGCCCCGAGCTGGAGACGATGGCGCACTGGCGGCACAGTGCTCGCTCCAGCGGCTGTGGGGAGAGGCACCGTCAGCTCCTCCTTCCCTCCAGGATACACCGTCAGTTCCTCCTTCCCTCCAGGATACACCACAGCCCCTGCCCGCCCTTCCCAAAGGTCAGGGAAACTGAGGCACAGGTGGGCCGAGCTGCCCCAGCGCTGCCCCATCCGCACGCACCTTCCCGTCGGGAACGCGGCTGTAGCCCGGGAAGCTGCGGACGCTGTCAGCCCTGGCCGTGGCGGGGCTGTCCCGGAGCGCCGGGGCCGAGCAGCAGCGCTGCACGGGGGTGTGGGAGCCGAGCAGGATGTACAGCACCGCCGCCACGGCCGCGCACACCAGCGTGAGGAAGAGCCGGACCTGGGAGCAGAGCGGGGGGAGCTCTCCGGGCCTGCCCGAGCACCGGCCCCGTGCCGGTAGCGGTGGCCCCGCGGCCATGGGGCAGCTGCCGCTCGGAGGGTGTTGAGGTGTGCGGGGTGCCGGGCCCGGCTCACTCCGTGCCCTACGGGCTCCGTGCCGCCCGCGGCACCGGCAGCAGCCGGGCTCAGCCCCCCGGCCCCTCGGCCCTGCCCAGCGGGTACTCACCAGCGTCTTCATGCTCGGGGGGCTGGCGGATCCCCGGGCGGGCTGTGGGGGTCACCGGCAGGGCGGGGGCTCGCACCCTGCAAGCAGAGCGGGCTCAGCGGCGGCACCCGGGATCCGGGATCTGGCTGCCGGTATCGCCCCGGTCCCCAGCGCCCGGGGTTCCCTTCCACGCCTCGTGCCGGGACCCCCCCAAGGCTACTACCGGGATCCCTCCCCGCATCCCATTCCCATTTCCCGGGGTGCCCCACGTGTGCAGTTCCCCGCTCCGAGTGCCGTTCTCCCCGTGCCCCGCGAGTGCCGCCCCGCCGGGCAGGGCTCGAGCCCGAGGGGTTTCCCCAGCGCGGCATCCCCGGCTGGCGGTGCCGGCCCCACTCACCGAGCCGGGCTCCACCGGCGGCTCCCGCATCCCGCCCGGAGCGGGGCTGCCGGGCCGCGGGGGGCGGAGCCGAGCGGGCACTGCCGGAACCGGCACCGGGACCGCCCCCGCCCCGCCCCGCGACCCCGCTCCTCGGGGGCGCGCCCGCCGTGCCCGTGCCCGGCGCAGCGGGACCGACCCCGGCACCCAGCGCGTGTGTCCCGGTACCGATCAGCCCAACCAGCCCGTGTGTCCCGGTACCGATCAGCCCAACCAGCTCGTGTGTCCCGGCACCGATCCCCGCCGCTCGCCCCGCCGTGTGCCTCGGCAGCCAGCCCAGGGCTCCTTCCCCTCTCGCTCGGGTTCCCGCAGCCTCCCTGTGCCCTGGGCTCTCTCACCTCCTGCACCGCGGCTCCCGATGAGCCCGGGGACACCACGAGGAGCCGGGATGGCTCAGGAGTGGGAGCAGGGCAGGTGAGGCAGCCCAGAGCCCACCCTACGGCCCCAGGCCCATCACCTGCCGCCCCTCCTGACCGGCTCAGGTCACAGAGAACCCATGGGAAGTGTCTCCAGAGCGAGCTGCCTGCTGGCCTGGGGGGGCATCGGATTTCTCCCACTGGAGATAAAGAAACGTGAGATGTAACCTTGAAACCACCCCCCCCATTGTCCTGAACAGGCCTGGGAGCACAGAGGAAGTGACAGGGACAGCACTGGGCTCCTGCACAGGAAGCGAGGCTGGAGGGGGAGGTCACACCGACAGCTGCTCAGGCACCAGGGAATTCTTCCACTCTTTGCTTCCTTCTGCCCAGCCCAAAACCAGCCCTGAGGGATGGGCTGAGCCTGCAGGTGAGCAGCAGGAAGGGCAGCAAGGGGCTCGACAGCTCAGCACGGCCTGGCAGCCTCTGCAGGAGCTGGAAACAAACCCCAGGCAGAGCCTCACCTCTGGCCCCTCTGCTGGCTCCTGCAGCCAGGCTCAGCTGTGGCCCTCGGGGTGTCCCAAGCCACCAGCACCAGCCCAGCCAGGATGGGATGTCCCCACTGTGGGACATGCTGCTGGCAGGAGGCTCACAGTACATACAAGAAGGGTTGGAGTGCCCCAGATCTGCCCTACCCAGGCAGGGTGCAGCAGCCCCAGGCAGGGCAGAACCAGCGTTTTTGGCCACGTTGTCTCTGGTGCTTCCCTGCCTGACCTCCCCAGTAGGACTTTTCAGCAGGATAATGCCATGAACTGCCAGGGCCATGCAGCTGAGCCCACCCTGGCAGGCTTGTGGCACCCCTTGGCATGGCAGAGGACAGGGAGTGAGACCTTGCAGACCTTTATTGAGAGTGGTCCTGCTTGCTGTGGCCCAGGAGAGGAACCCCCCAGGGAAAGGACACTGCCACCACACTGCCTGCTCAGCCCCAGCCTGGCTGGCACATGGAGGAACCCAGGGCAGGAACCCAGCCAGGACTGAGAGCTGTGGTGGGAACCACACCCAGCACCTCCCTGTGATCCAGGACATCTCCTCCCCACCCCTCAGCTGGGTGGGACACAGAGGGCAGCACTGTCCCTGCTCCCTCTGCACACCCAGCCTCACGGGGGTCCCTCTTCAGA